TGTGATAAAATCAGCATGGTACTGGCAAAGAAATAGGCCTGAGGATCAATGGAACAGACTGGAAGACACAAAAACAAATGCAGATGTACTCAGCTACCTCATCTTCGACAAAGGAGCTCACCATCCTCAGTGGAGGAAAGATAGCCTCTTTAATAAATGGTGTTGGAAAAACTGGATATCAACCTGTCACAGATTAAAATTAGACCCTTATCTTTCGCCATGCACTAAATTAAAATCCAAATGGATTAAAGATCTAAATATTAAAACAGAAACATTAAACTTGCTGGAAAGTAAGTTAGGCAGAACTCTGGAAGACATTGGTATAGGAAAAGACTTTATGAACAAATCCTCAGTAGCACGGGAACTAGCAGAAAGAATCAACAACTGGGATCTCATCTTACTAAAAAGCTTCTGTACTTCAAAAGAAACCATTAGCAGAACTAAGAGACAATCTACAATGTGGGAAAAAATTTTTACCAGCTGTACCTCAGACAAAGGACTATTATCAAGGATATATAAAGAACTCAAAACAATCAGTCCCCCCAAATATAAAGACCCGATCCAAAAATGGGCATCCGAAATGAACAGACATTTCTCATACAAAGAAGTGAAAGCAGCAAGAAAATATATGAAAAAATGTTCCACATCACTGGTCATTCGAGAGATGCAGATGAAAACAACACTGAGATTCCACCTCACCCCACAAAGAATGGCTGCTATCAAGAAATCACACAATAACAAATGTTGGCGGGGTTGTGGGGAGAAAGGAACCCTCCTCCATTGTTGGTGGGAGTGCAGACTAGTGCAACCACTATGGAAATCAATATGGAGATACCTCAAAGAGCTTGGACTGGAGGTTCCATTTGACCCAGCCATCCCTCTGTTGGGTATCTTTCCAAGAGAACTAAAAGAATCATATCACAGAGAAGTATGTGCACCCATGTTTATAGCGGCACAGTTTGTAATAGCTAAATCTTGGAAACAACCTATTTGCCCATCCGTTGGAAACTGGATAAAGAAGTTGTGGTTTTTCTATAAAATGGAATATTACTCAGACATAAAGAATGAGAAAATAGATTCATTCATAGGAAAATGGATATATATTGAAGATATACTCCTAAGTGAAATAAATAAGTCACACATGTGCAAATACCAAATAGTTTCCCTGGTGTAAATAATCTGCAACAATACATAAGATTCTAATAAGATTACTGACATTTAGAAATGGGAACAAAGGAGCTAAAGGTGTAGGGAAGGTGGGATGGGTAGGGGAAGAGTAAAAAGGGAAAAGAAAAAAATGTGAGAGAATGAAAAAATGAAAATAAAGTGTTTGTAGATGGGGAGGGGTGGAGGGGGTGAAGGGAGGGCAGAGGTAAGGGGAAAAAATGAGAATCAAGACTTGTCATGTAGAGGTACGAGATTCCAACAATGAATGTAACTGTACTGTATCCCTAAAATGTACCAATAAACTCAATTAAAGCTGAAAAAAAAATATATGATATTCTATATAGAAAACCCCAAGAAATCCAACAAAAGTCTTCCAGACTTAATACCAAATTCAGTAGAGTAGCTAGATACATGGTCAACACACACAAATCAGTAACTTTCCTGTACACAAACAATAGACTCGCTGAAAAAGAAACTGAAGAAACAACTCCCTTCACAATAACATCCAAAAAAAATGAAGTACTTAAGAATAAACCTAACAAAAGAAATCAAAGACTTCTACTCTGAAAACTATACGATAGCACTCTGAAAAAAGATCGAAGAGGATATCAGAAACATTGAGTAGGAAGAACCAATAGAGTGAAAATGGCCATACTTCCATAACTGCTACACAGATTGAAAACAATTCCAATTGCAATTCTAGCAGCATACTTCACAGACTTTGAGAAAACAATCCAAAAATTCATTTGGAATAAGAAGAGACCTAGAATAGCAAAAGCAATTATAGGCAACAAAGACAAGGAAGTGGGTATCATAATGCCCAACTTGAAACTATACTACACAGCTACTATGTAAAAAACAGCATGGTACTGGCAAAGAAACAGACTCAAGGATCAGTGGAACAAATTAGAAGATGCAGAAACAACTCCAGACACACTCAGCCACCTCATCTTTGACAAAGGAGCCAAACACCCTCACTGGAGGAAAGATAGCTTCTTTAATAAATAGTGCTATAAAAACTGGGTTTTGTGCCAAAGATTATAACTAGATCTATGACTCTCACCATGCATTAAACTAATGGATTAAAGTTTCAAATAGATATAAAACAGAAACACTAAATTGGCTGGAAGACAGGTTTAAGTAGAACTCTTGAGAACAGTGGTGCAGGAAAAGGTTTTATGAACAAAACCTCAGTTACCTGTGAACTAGCACAAAAAGTCAACAAGTGGGATCTCTTCTTATTAAAAAGCTTCTGCCTGCCTCACAGGCACAAGGTCACAAGTTCACCCAGTACACAAACAAACAAAAAAAGCTCTCTGCACAGCAAGAGAAAACACCAACAGCATGAAAAGACAATGCATAATGCGGGAAAAAGAATTTTACCAGCTGTTCCTCAAAGGTCTATTATCTAGAATATATAAAATTTTTAAAACCAGACCTTTCAAATTTAAAGACAATCCACAAATTGGCATCTGAAATGAACAGACATTTCTCAGACAAAGAAGTAGAAAGAGCAAATAAACATATGAAAAAATGATCAGCATCACTGGTCACTGAAGAGATGCAAATGAAAACAACACTAAGATTCTACTTCATCCCAGAAAGAATGGCTGCTATCAAAAAAATCAACCAATAACAAATGCTGGAAGGGCTGTGGGGAAAGAGGAGCCCTGCTCCACTGCTGGTGGCGGCGTAGACAGGTACAACCACTGTGGAAATCAGTATGGAGAAACCACAAAGAACTATTATTAGAGGTCCCATTTGAGCCATCTATTCCCTGCTCGGTATCTTCCCAAAAGAATTAAAAATAATCATACCACAGTGATATATGAGCACCCATGTTCATAGTGGCACAATTTGTAATAGCTAAAACTTGGAAATAGACCAATTTCCCATCAACTGGAGACTGGATAAAGAAAACATGTGTGTGCTTTTAATATAAAGTGGAGTACTACTCAGCCATAAAGAATGAGAAACTATATATATTTATAGCTAAATGGATGTACATGAGGCCATTTCTTAAGTGAAATAAACAGGACACACGTGTAAATTCCACAGTTTCTCTATTGTGAGAAACAGAAAGTGTACATAAGGATCAAAATGTATAATAGATAATATGAAGTAGGAAGAAAAGGTGCAAAGGGAAAGGTGAAGTGGGAGGGGTTGGGGAAAGGAAAGAAGGGGATGGATTTAACATGAGAAAATGAAAAAATGGAAACAAAGTCAAAACAGAGAGGGGTAGAGAGGTTGAAGGGAAAGGCAGGGGAATGGGCAAAAAATGAGAATCAAGATATATTATGTAAAGGTACAAATTTCCAGCAGTGAATGTCATTATACTGTATGCCTAAAAAGTACCAATAAAATTTAATTTTTAGAAAAAATTGCTAGAAGAAAAGGACAACGTTGCACAAAGAAATTAACCATAATGCAACTTTCCAATTTCCTTTCTACTCTAAAACATGAATATCAACATAGCAATTTTATAAATCCTTCCCTCCCCTTTTTTCTCCCTCCTCTTTTCCTCACCCCTTTCTTTCAAGACAGGGTCTTGCTATGTTGCCCAGGCTGGCTGTGAATTCAAGTGATCCTCCTTCCTCATTCTCCTGAGTAGTTAGGACTACAGGTACATGTCACTGACCTTCAGCAAGAAATGTGCTTTTGAACTGGACCCTTTGTACAAAATAATGAAAGTCTTTAGAACAACTGCAAAATTTATATTCTTACATAAATCAAGATGCTCAGAATACTACTCTAAAGTTAGACCAAATATTCTGTTATGTATTTCTTTTAACAATGTTGATTGATTTTTCACAACAAATCAGAGAATGAATCCGTCACATAATATACAACTAGTGAGCAGATATATAGCAAAATTATTCCACTACTGACTCTAATTACACTTCTATTTCACTAAGAAATAGGTAAGAACAATAGGTTTTATGTCTGTTATCTATGGAGCCTTCTTGACTCAAGTTAGATGAAAAAGAACAAATTCAACATAGAGCCCAGGCAGTCAATCATTTTATAGATGAGAAAACAAGGAATTTGTGATCTAGCACACAGATGCTCAGATCTGAGGATTATAAAAAAACCTAACAAGTTTCCTTGTTCCACTACTTATCTATAAGGCCTTCATGTCCTGTGATATCATGAAAAAGTTAACTTTTATAAATAAGTACAACTCAGGCTAAGAGGAATTGCCTATATATCCTGAGGTAACTTGTTTTAGCTTGAAGAATTTTAGCAATTACATTCAGAAAAAATTTCCCCAGAATGTCTATGTATTCATCTCATCTCTTTTACAAAAAAAAATACAATATTTGAGGAAAATTGATTTCTGTCTTCTATGTCTCTTCTAACATTTAAATATTTTTCCCATAAAAATTATCTTGGTCCTTTTATTCTAAAAGGGCTTTAATTTCCATTTTTATCCTTAAATATGAGGCCTGGATCACTGCGGAAACAAAGAATTGGCAGTTTTAAAAATTGTTTTTCTTCACTGGCTGCCTTGCAAGCACAATGTCCTGAGTTCGATCCACCAGTATGAAAAACAAAATTGTTTTTCTTTGCTTAGTTTCTAATATGGGGCGTGTGTGTGTGTGTGTGTGTGTGTGTGTGTGGGTGGGTGGGTGTGCGTGGGTGTGGGTGTGTGCGTGTTTTGCTGGGGATTGCTAGGCAAGTGCTCAACCACTGACCTACACTCCCAGCACGAATATGTAAGATTTTTAAAATGTAAAAACACCCAAGTCTAATTTGCTCAGTAAGCAATGATTGCCTGCTTATCTCTTGTCTAATTTAGGAGTAGACAGCATTTATATACAGTAGTTTCTTACCTTCTCTATATCCAGGACTTTATCTTGCATCTCCTTTAGCGCACACTGAGACTCAGCTTCACTCAGTCGGGCTTGAACCAATTCCTTCTCTAGCTGTAGCACAAAATCTTCATTGTAGTTGGAGCTGCATTTATGCTAAAGGTTATAAAAATATAATGAAATTTTGTGGAAGCATGAACATGTATGTAAAGTAAAAATAATTTAATCAAATAATTCAGGTATTAAAAATTCTATCTACTGAATATCCCCTGTATATTTCCTCTAATGAGAAAAATACTTCCCAACAAGAAAAATAAAGAGCTATTTCAAGTATCTTTATAAACAACTACATTATTGAGTTATGGTAACTAGTTATTACATTACTAAATCCAATTCATATAAGATAATCACTTTTTACCTGTCCATCCAGACACTAAGAATCTGTTCTGACTCTATAGACCTGACCGGTACAATAGTGAAGCCATTATCCAGATATGGATACTGAGCACTTGGAATGTGGCTAATCCAAATTGAGGCAGGTGATAAGTATAAAATATAAACTGGACTTCAAAAGCAATATAAAGTCCACCTGCCTCACAAGCGTAAAGACCTGAATTCAATCCCCAGTACCTCCCAAATTTATATATACATACACATACACAGAGAGAGAGAGAGAGAGAGAGAGAGAGAGAGAGAGAGAGAGAGAGAGAGAGAGAGAGAGGGAAAGGGCTGGGTGTGTGGCTTAGTGGTAGAACACCTGTTAGAGCAAGTGCAAGGCCCTGGGTTCAATCCCTGGTACCACACTTTCAAAACAAAAGAAAAAAACTCAATGATTCTTATATTGATTGCATGTTAAAAAATATCTTGAATATATTGAAGTAAACAATATTAATTTTACCTGTTTTTATTTCTTTTAATATGGGACAGCACTGTTAAGAGATTACAGAAGATAAATGCACATTTCCTGAAAATTCTGTTTTCATCTAATAGCAATAAAACAAGGTATAAACTATAGGTGAACCACCTTACACTCCCCAAAAAGAACAAAACTGCATTATTTGCCTTAGAAATGTAGGTTTCTTTAAAAAATATACATGTAAATAATACTGGAAGCAGAGAAAAAGCAGATGCTGTACAGAGAAATTAATCATAGAAGTATAAAACCTTCCAATTTCTTTTCCTACTCATACACTAATACCAATGCAGCCACTTAAAAAATCCCCCTCTTGGTGAAGGGAGGGCAGGGACAATGGAAAAAATGAAAACGAAGACCTGTCATGTAAAGGTACAAGATCCCAATGATGATTGTAAGTGTACTGTATGCCTAAAATGTACCAATAAACTCAATGAGAGAGAGAGAAAAAAAAGAAATCCCCCTCTTTTTATTTTTTTTCTGGTACTGGGGATTGAACTCGGCCACATGCATACCAGGTAAGTGCTTTAACACTGAACTATACCCACCAGCCCTTTGTAACTCAATTTTGAGACAGGATCCTGCTGAGATGCCCACCCTGTCTTCAAACTTGGTATCCTCCTCAACCTCCTGAGTAGCAAAGATTACAAGTGTGTGCTACAACACTTAGCAAGAAATTCTTTTTAAGCTAATGCCTATACAACAACTTTTGTAAAAAGGCAAAAAGATATCTAATGCCTCATTATGAAACTTTTTAAAGCAAATTGCCTATTACTTCACAATTAACTCCTATAGTAAAGAAAAAGTGGTAAATATAAAATAGTCATGGAGAGCAATCTCTTACTGGATTGGCATGAGTAAAGAATGATTCTTTCTACTTAATACATTAAGAGCAAAATGGGTGGCAAATGAAAACTATTAAAAATGACAATGCTTAATTAAAATACTTGGTATTCTCCTGTCCTAAAGATCCCAGACGATGTCTAAATGATGACTTTTTAATTCAATGAACTACCATTAATTCTTTATACTCATAAAACAATAAAATGTATCTGCAACAGGTATATCACCTTAACAAATATAACGTTATCAAATAAGGAAAACACACTTTTGGAATGACTAGTGGTACCTCAATTTAGTAAGAACATACTTTTTTATGGGCACTACAAGAATTGTTTGACCTTAATCTAGAGTCCTGTTAATTGTAGTTCAGATTTGTCTGCCAACATCCTATATTAAGAGATGCTCAGAAAACATAAAATTCATGAGGCCTGAATAAAATGAAATCTTTGATTTGGCAGAAACTAGTTGTTTCAACCAAGTATAAAACTCTACAGTAATACAGCACTGGCAACAACTTTTTATCAGTAAACTTTAAAAAGGGCTGAAATGCTCTGATAACATCAATCTGGATAGTAAACATCTTATACTTTTATATATTAAACATTAGCCTCTGGATTAAAATAATTGTAAATATACTATGTAACTTTTTTGCTACAACAGAGTCTATAAAACAATTCTTAATTCTCTGGCCATCATGACAATGATCAATTAATATACTGCAAATTCTATAGTATCTATAGAATGCAGAGTACTTTTGGTGGAACAGTACAATATGAATGTGTATATTTTAGGTTTTATTAAATGTCTAATTTAATAGTTCTCATTATTTTTCCCTCTACTGTCATTTTTTTTTTTTTGCAACTTTTGATCCTAGTTTTATCTTGCTTCTTTGGTCTTGGTTCTTAGTTTTACTTTTATGATCAGTCATCTGCTTCACTCTCCAGCAATGTATTTACCCTTTGGAGTCACAGACTCTCAGAATCACAAGAAACTCATTTTTTCAAAACAAAAAAAATTTATATCCATTAAGTTCTACATGCAATTTCAGACCTCCCTGAAGCTTCCATATACCCTAAGTTTAAAAGCTCTGCTCTCAAAAGTACTCCCTTTAATCCTCAGCTATCTTTATGATCATAACTCTGAGATCACACTGGTTCTCAAATACCAAGTATTACGATTCTCAGCAGCTCAAGTTTCATTTCCACACAAATGTCCTGTATTCAAATCAAACTTAATACGAAGGTTATCACTGTCTTCCTCAAACCAATTCCTTTCCTTGATCTCTCTATTTGCCCCTGGCCTAAAATCCTTCATCCTCAGTGTTGTTGCCTAGCAAAGAACAGTAAGACTTTTTTTGCTGTAGAATATTTCCCGTTACTGTTTTCACTTACCATCATTTCTCTAGTAACTGATCTCTCTTGCCATTTTGATCTTATAATAATCCACTGTGAATACTAGTACCAGTTCCCTAAAACACTTTTAACCATATTATTCTTTAAGTCAAAAATTTGTACTAGTCCTCTATCACTCAAAGGGCAAGTTCTGAATTCCACAGTTTAAAATGTTTCTCCTTTTACTGCCCATTTATTCTTCAACCCACAATCCAGCTCAGTCTTCCTTGATAAAATTTCTAGCCACTAACAGTATCAATATCCAGTGATAATATAAATAACAATGAACACTCCTTTACCATTCAATTCTTTCCATGATATTCAAAAAATCAAACTGGCCATTTATTTTTAGACAGGGTTTTGTTAATTAGCTCAGGCTGTCCTTGAACTCATGGGGATCCTCCTGCCTCAGCATCCCCAGTGCTGGGATTACAGGTGTGCACTACCATACCCAGCCAAACTGGACGTTCTTAAAATTCTTTCCTCTCTTAGATTTAAAGCTTACACTTCTGTTCTTCTCTGATTTTCTCCATTCCTCTGTGAATTTTATTACTTTCTAAAAGTGTTTGTTTTATGTATGTGTGTGTATAAAAATCAGTAGTCCTTAAGTTCTCATTGTATGCTCTCTCACAATCGTTCCATTTCTCTATTTTATAGATTCATCCTGCATGATTTCATGCACTGTCTCCATAGTTTACAAGTATAGGCAGTATCTGATACTGTCTTTAATCTGTTAGATACAGGTAGTACATGAAAGCACCAAGGAATGATCTATAAAACAGTAAAACAATGAAGGTGGAGGTAGAGACAGGAAGAAAGGGGGCAGGGGACATACAAAATGTTGAAACCCTGGGATTATGGACAAAGTTAACAATGATGCTCAAATGCATATTTCCAGCCCACAACTTTCTACTAAGTTATAAATATGTATGCACAATTTCTTACTGGTCAACTCCCATCTGTTTGGCCTTGTATTCATCTCACATTCAACATGTCAAAACTTAATTCCCCATCTTTTCTTCTTCATATGTTCCCTGTCCTGATAAGGACACCACCACATAATAAATGACCAAATCAAAACCTTTCTACTCAACCTGTACCATACAATCACAAAATCTTGGTCATTTTTCTTCTAATTCGTACATTTGGCTGTTCCTTTCCATCTTCACTGTCATCTTTATTCATGCTAGCCATCTCTTTCTTTGAATGAAGTAGTTTCACATATCCTCTCCCAGTTGTTGCAGTACTTACTGTTGTTACATTATGGTAACTCTCAAGGCTAAACTGTGGTAAACAGAAGGCTGTTTGTTTTGTTTTTTTTAAAGTTCCACCATTTGGAATAGGTAGTGTCAGACCCCAGCTCAAGCAGAAGAGAAAAACTTTCCAGGCAATGTGGTTTCACATCCTGCAAGGTGCAAAGGATAACAGGAAGCCAAAGCTCGGGTCTGGGTTCGAGATAAGTAGACTGACCCATGCAGCAACATCTGCAGGTCTAGATACCCCTGGAGACCACCAGACTTCCTCTGCCCCAGATCAGAAGACTTCTTCCACTCCAGGACAGAATTTTCTCACTCCTGTTGGCACTATTGCTCCACTTCCCAAACTTCCCTATAAAGTTTCCCCTCACCCAAGACCCCAGGGTCAATGGCTTTGTTGCCCTTGACTAGCTTTCACCCAGCCTGGGAATAAAACTTTGTTGATTCACTTTGCCTGCACTGGTGGCTTTGGTCATGCCTCAGTTTACTCTAACAGGTAGGTATTTTCTTTTTGTTTCGTTTCAGTTCTTTAAGTCAAAGTCTCACTATGTAGACCAGGCTGGTATCAAACTCATGGTGATACTCCTGTCCACCATGCCTGCCATCCAGGTAGGTATTTTTTAACTTTACTGTTTCAAGTTTAAGGAAATTTTGGTTTTATGCTTATTGATACAAATATAATGAAAAGTATATAAGCATTGGTAATTTTCTTCAATACTGTATTCAGAATGAATCTAATTCTAATAAGACAAT